CTCCTTCTCCTTCTCCTTCTCCTTCTCCTTCTCCTTCTCCTTCCTTCCCACTGCAAATCCGGATCTCCCTAACATTAAAAACGACCGTCGTTGGCACAAAACCGTGCTTTCACAGGAATAATAAAACGGGAGAATTTGGAGCCCAGCTTAATGGCTTGTTCACCTCTGAGATAGAGAGCAAGGCTAAAAGCCTCCCTGCTTAAAGACTGAGGTTGGGCAATTGGAAAAAACCTTTCACTTTTTCTAAAATAGGAACTTTCTTTCTGATCTGCACGCTTTTCTCTGCTGTTTCCCGGGGTATGAATTTAACCTGCCTTGCTACCGAAGTTGGGCTTTTGGTTGGGCAAGAACCCAAAAGAGCCGGGATGCAGAAACCGTTTAGGCACTACAAGGTACTGGTGGATAATTCCAGCTGGCTTCCTCGATGCGCAAGCTCCTTTTTAAAGAAGCAAATTTTAATGGGGTCAATGACATCTTGTTTCAAAGCGACTGTCTGGGGGAAATATTAATGGATTAGGATCTGAAGGTCACTGTGTATTGCCTCGGAAGGTCAGGATCAGTGCCAAAGAGTGCAAATTTGCTCTGCAGTTATTTTTACAAGGCAAGATTTCCCGCTGCCTTCTAAAGCGAAAAGCAGGCAGAGCAGCGAGGAGCGAGGAAACAGTAGTTGAAATCCAGGTTTGGGACAAGGGAAAAATTCCAGACCTGGTTTTCTTCCCACTGAGCCTCCCTCCCCGAGCGTGTCAAAGAAATTTACAAAGGCATCTACTTGAATCGCTTACAGTTCGTATTTAAAAATACAAGGATTTATAATTGGGATCTCTCTTGCGCGCTCGCTCTCTTTTACTGTAATAAACATCTGGATGACTCTTTGAAATGCTAATGGGAGACCGGCGTTCCGGAGCCGCCGCGGCAGAACTGTTTCGCAGGCAACTGGAGAAGCGAAGGAAGTGGCTGGGGATCACCGCGTCCGCTGCCCTAGAAGAAACCTCCCGAGGAGGCTCGTCCCCAAAGAGCTCTCCGATGCCTCTGCCCCGGCTGCTGCTCCATCCGCAGCCCGCCGTGATTCCCAGGCCGCTTCTCTCCGCGGGACGCTTTCCACGCCGCGGTTTCGGCGGCGCGTGGTTCCATCTCCTAAGCTCCCTGCCTTCCTCTGCCCTGGAAAAGTCGGAGGTCTTTTGCCTTTGTAGGAAACATTTTGACCCCTGCCCGTGCGGGGAAGGGTTTCATGTGGACTCTCCAAGAACCCCTTTTAAACCGTGGACTGCCCAGCCCAAAGCGCAACAACCCTGGCCCAGCCAAAAAGTGCACCTTGAATGCCGAAGTCCTTTTCAAGATAACTCTTAAGGGCGAGGTGATTCCACCGTGGCAGTTTCCTCCTCCAGAGGAGAGGCAGAGGGGGGAGGAGGGAGACGTTCCCTAAGGAAGGGCGGGATCGGGCGGCGAGCGTCAATTCCTCCTGAAGGGCGAACAAGTCGGGAGACCAATCGCTGCCTGCCGAGGGAATTTTATTTGCCAGAGGCAGCTGGTTGCCCATAGAAGGGCCCTCAAAGGCCTCGCGCAAGGGCCCCGCAGAGGCGGGCTTTCTCTCCGTCTCCCTTTCCCCCGGTCTCCCTCAAGGGAACGGCCAGAGGAACCCTGAACTCCGCTTCGCCCCTCTCCGCCCGTCCCGAGCGCTGAGGCCTGAGAGGAGAAGGCGGCTGGCGGAGGACGATCTGGGTCAGTAGAGCGACCGCCCGGCCTGCCCTCAGGCGCCCTTTGCCCGCCCGGAGAGGCTCCGTTCCGAGGGCCAATTTCCTCCGCTCCACACTTGCCTTTTTTTACCCGCCTCCCGGGCGAACCGCGTTTGTTTTGCGATACCCATTTCCCCTCCGCCTTTCAGAGCCAATCTTAACGTGGCCTCAGGGCAGGCAGCGACCCTTCGGTCACCGGAGCCGAGCAGCCCTCTTCCGTCGGCGCCAACCCCATCGCCGGCATCGCCACATTCGGAGCGCCGCCGGGCCGCCCCGGAGCCCAGCGCGCCGGGGGAGCAGCCTCTAGGCCCCGCCATCTCTCTGCGGGCTCGGCAGGGGTCGATCTGGCTCTCCCACATCCCAATTTGTTGAATAAATAACGCGTCCGTCCTCGAATGGTCAAAACGCTTAACCTGGTGGTTAGCGCAGTTCTGCTCTTCGTCCCGGTCCCAGGGGCTGCTCGGAACTCCAACATCAATTTGACCTGCGGGAGCGATCGTTCAAAGGCAGGCAAGAGAGGGAAGTGAACGTGAATCACTCGATACTTTTCAGAAAAGCCAGCTTTTAACAGTCAGTCAAATGTTTCAAGGCAATGAAATGCTCTGAGTCGTTCGCATTTACTTCTTTTATTTACAGTATTCACTTGCTAATGTCGGCGCAAAGCTGCCGCATTTGTGCTTGGTGTTTCCATCCAGCGGGATCCGCGGCCCGCGCCGCTGCCCTGGGCCCGGTGAGAGGGGGCCTCTCTGGGTGAAGGGAAGGCTCCGCTTCTAGATGCGATAGGAGTTGAACACTCAGTCCCACCTGCCTGCACCTCTGCTTCCGGGAAGCCGAGCAGCTAGCTCACCTCCAGGCTAGCCGTTTCTGCAGCAGAAGGCAGCGGCTTCAGCCTACACCCTGCATTCGATAACGGACCCCAACATCCCTCGGCTTTGTCCAAGAAAAAAGGGGTTGCCCTGAGGATTTTTCAGCAACTTCCTCCCCAGATCCCCACATTCCCACTGGAACAGGTAACAAATACCCAGGCTCAAAGGCAGAACTGATGGAGTCGATCTAGCCACTTCTGGGATCCCCAACAACCAGGAGATCCCTCCCCTGCACATTCTTAGCTTTCTGGATTCTCAAGCCCTTCCTTCCTGCCTGCCTTCTGCCTGCCTTCTTTCCTGCCTTCCTGCAAACTTCCTTTCCCTAACCATCTCTTTCTCCCTCCACCCATCCTAATTTAACACTCTAGTGCCTTATTGTAATGTTCCGGAGAAGTGAGTGAAAACAATACTGCAGTGATCCAAATGATATGGTGGAGTCATAGCAATTAGAGTTTTACTTGGAGGAGGAAAAATCTGGCTAAGATCACCAATAAGCAGATGCCGGGAAGGATAACAGACTTGGGAGACTGACAGAGGTGGCAGGAGCAAGTTGTTTTGGCCGGCACCATCCCTCCCACCCAGATGAACCGCCTTAGATGGGGCTTATCATTTCAGCTCCCCTCCCCTAATTTGTCTACTTTTATTTCAAAACTCCCCCCTTGGATAGGGCAATGCTCTTCCACAAAATGCCTAGCCTGGAGGATGTGCCAGGCTCCATGGCTAGGCCAAACAATGAGTGAGGTCTTGGGGGGTCCAATCCACTGAACCTCACCAAAGGGGGAAATTGCAGAACCCTCTGGGCATTACTGGGCACCAGTGGTGCTGTATGAGGGAATGAAGTTCTGGGGTAAAGTTTGCTGTCCAGCAAATATGAAACCTTTTGATTTCAATGGGAGCCTAAAAATGATTCCTCCCTTTTACTTCTAGCCGAAAATGAAAGAACAGCAGGAAATGTGTCTGCTTAAATATAATCTTTGAAGGGCTAAGTAGGGCAGGCTTAGAGATAAAGTTCAGATCAGCTCGACTAGGTCTTCAAGTGATATGGAGCCAGTTGTTGCTCTAGAATTGTTAAAATCAATAGCATGTTTTAATCTGAACTGAACTAGTAATTGGTGTCCCATCTGGACTGCAATCCTATCACACTTTTCTGAGTAAATCTAGTCAACTGGGTTAATGGATCAGTTGATAATGATAATGGATTAGCTGTTGTATGAACACTACTTGAATGTGGTATTTAACCTCCAGGTATTATTTCCTGAGATGCATTTATGGGCAGGTTAGATTTGGCACCCTCATTTTAGTCAATGTTTCCTTGATCTTAGATTAACTTTATCAAACTCTAATTTGTGCTTGGCTGAAACAGATATTAAGACCTGCATCTCAAAGAGATCCATCTGTTCTGCAGGGTGGA